CCAGAATCCTTGCCTCCAAAGAGTAGCCTGGTTTGACCCTCTCCAGGGTGAATCTGTCTGTTTTCTTGGCAGTCCAGGGTACATTCAATACTCTTCTCCAGCACCACAGCGCAAAGGCATCAATTCTCCTTTTATCCTCCCTAGTCATTGTTCAACTCTTTAATAAGAATTCATAATTACCAAGGAATCAAGTAGAAGTTTAATCTACCTCACATACACCTTTCAAACCATTCCTATCTTCATTTTATAGATGGGAAACTACAGCATTGATGCACAGACAATGTGACTTGCCGGGAATCATATTCCTTTAACTAACTCCTTGATCAGGATTCAAACACGTGCTTGACTGCTGTTAGGTGCCATCAATTCCAACTCGTGGAGGTCCCATGTGTGCAGACTATAACTGCTTCACAGGCCTTGCACGGCTATGACCTTTTGGAAGACAACTGGCAGCCCTGCCTTTTAGACAACCTTCTGGTCAGTGATTAGTATTTGGGCACTCAAGAGCTCCTGATTTCAAATACACACAACTTCACGTTAGAGACATGCAGGCATAATTTCCAATCTACAAAACCAAAAAAGACTGAAGCCCACCCCTTTTGAAGAAATCATTGGTAGAAGGTAAACAAAAATAAAATTTTAAAATAGAAGTACTTATATACAACAATCAGGCTAACAACAATCAGTGATATGGTTCAATGGCATTACTGTATTCACCATGCCACACAGCATCACCACTATTTCCCAAACATCTTCATCGGTCCAAACAGAAACACTGCATATTTGTATAGTCAGTAAAGCACAACAGACATTTTTCTGATATCCTGTGCTCTCAGTGAGGATCAATCTGATATCAGCAAATGATATACCTGATGCCATGACCTCTATTGAATCCAGTTTGAACTTCTGCAGTTCTCAATGTATTGTTCTAGAAGTTTATAAATGATCTTCAGCAGTATTTAGCTTGCACATAGTATTAATACTGTTTTATTATTTCCACATTCTGCTGGATCATCTTTCTTGGGGATGAGAACAAATATAGATCTTTTCCAGTCAGTCAGGCAGCTATTCCTCCAAATTTCCCAGAATTAAGACTGAGGAGCACATCTAGGGCTTCATCTGTCATTTAGAATATTATGCATCACTGAAAACCAAGCAAACTTGTAAAATACTACACAACATGGGTGAGCCTGAAAGACATTATGATGAGTGAAATATCTCAGTCATGAACACTGCTGTTATAAAACAGGACTGACATCGGGTGTTGGAGGGAGAAGAGGAATTGGTGGACAAATAATGAAGACTGCACTGGAACAGGTGAGGGGAAGGACTGTCAGAAAGAACTGTGCGATCAGGTAATATATGTATGTACATGTATGATTAACAGTTTGAACAAGAGGTGCATTACAAAATGGACTGGGGGATGAAGATGGGTGAGGGAGGGAGAAAAATGTGCAACAATAAAGAGAAAAAAAACCCAGAAGTAATAGTAATAAAAGGATTAAAGTCCAAAAGGGAATAGGGGAGCAAGAAGTGGGAGGGGAGGGGAGGAAAACACTAATTAAGAAGTTTCGTGAGAGAGAAGGATTGTGTGTGAAGGAATAAGGAAGTCTAACGGGGACCTAAAAAGCCAGAGTAATAATATGATAGATCAATGGTGATTAATTTTTATAAAATACCATGCACATGAGTGATGTGTGAAACACCATGCCACTGTAGGAATGTGTGAAATGCAATATACATACATGAACGATACACAATGTATACCAATTCTGTATGCAAAGCATTATAAAACAAAAGTGTAGTGAGAAAAGACTACTTGGCTAAGAAGTAAGAAAAATCAAGCTGTGCTGTGTTGGAGCAATCTGTTGTCAAGGACTTAAAGTTCTAAAGAACAAGGATGTCAAAAGAACAATTAAGGTGCACTTGATCTTGGTATTTTCTGGTTTTTTTTTTGCCCTTTACATCTGAAAGTTGGACAACAAATAAGAAGAATGAAGAAGAATCAATGCCTCTGAACTGTGTACTGGCGAAGAGTACCTATTTCCAAAAGAATGAACAAAGGCAAAGGCTGCATAGACGAGACATCATTATGATGAGTGCAATATCTCAGTCATAAACATCCAATGAGCAATATTCAGTTCTTCTGAAAGATACCCGGGTGCACTCTCTTTCATGACCTCGTCCATTGTACACTTGAAGGTCAACTCAGAGGAGCAGCTGTCAAACAGCTCCAGCAAATCTCAGCTGCCAGAAGTGAATCCTCAGTCGCCCATTATCACAGAGCTCCTGGAGCCTGTGCCCAGGGACAGCATGGACCTGGCACTCAGAAGCAGGTGGGGCAACTCTGACTTACTTACACAGCTCCCTACTGGCACCCTTCAACTGTGCCCGAGGGGCCTGAAAATGATCTGCTGTGCAGTGAGATTGAGCTGTTCATCAGCTGTTCTCCACCTGCAGGAGCACAGTAACCCCATCCCCACCCCAGCAATATTGACCCATTGACTCTTTCCTGATGACTGCTGACCCAGACCCTTAGACTTACTCCAACCCCAATTACTTTGGCAAGTTGCTTTCTCCTAAGCTTTTGGTGACACAGCCCACAACCTTGCCCTCCACCCATAGTTCCCTGCCTCTATCCTTCAGCACTGACAAAGATGCCTCCCCAGCGCAACAGACCAAGGAAGCACTCATGAATGCCTACTCAGAGACCCAGCCTGAGGTATCCCCACTAACACCTACCGAGGACCTCATCAAAGCCTTCTAGAACAACAGACCAACTATACCAAGAACTACTACAGCAAGATCAGGGGTGAGAGGCAAAGAGCATCAGTGCACCCAGCTATGCTCAAAATCCAAGTTTCAGAAAACGACTGTAAGGACTGGCTGCCCAATAGGGCTCTTCCTCTAAATCCAATAAAAACAGACCAAAGAACAAAACTGAGACAAGGAAACAACAGATGGCATGGACTCAAATAACTGCGGGCTTAGTGGCTGCTGGGCTGAGGCCTCTGTGACTGTTTGGCTGAGCCCAGGCATGTGGACAATCGATGACTCAATGACACCCCTGGTCCTCGCTGTCATTCTCGGAGCTGTGGACCTGACTGTGAGAACAGCCCCCATCTCAGTGACACCCGTGGATCTTGCTGCCTTCATCAGGGCTGTGGGCTGGTGGCTGCTAGGTCAGGGTGTAGGGACAGCCCAAGACTTAGAGACGTCCCTGGTCCCCACCATTATCCTTTGGGCACTGAACTCAGTGGCTGCTTTATAAGGGTAGAGGGATGGCCCACGATTCAGTGACACCCCCTGGTCCTCTGAGGCTACAGATTCATTTGCTTCCGTGCCAGGCAACGGGGACTGCCCATCACTCAGCCTGTTTTTTTCTTTTCTTGACCGTAGAGGTACACATTTGCATATTGTTTTAAGTAATCCCTTTGATAGATAATTGCCTTGTACATAATTAAACTATTTTCTGATGGGGAATAAAAAACCCACAAAACACAACAAAAATTTGAGTAGCTAAGAATCAATAAGACATCTTTATATCAATATTATCAAACAGGGTAACAAATCCCACACTCCAGCCAAGATTTTAAAGCTTCCCAAATTCATCTTTGCTCAAGGTGACTTGTGCTGCAACTATGTTTAAACCTACTGATCACATTTCATAGGAAAAACCCTTTTAACTTGAGGAGGTAGTGTGGAAGGTGGTGAGTAGGGAAACTAATAAAATTATATAAAAAACAAAACCCTGGTCATCGGCAGTCCTAGCAACCAAAGATCACTTTTATTTCCAATAGCTGCTAAATGAAGGAAAAGTATCTATTGTGGAGCCAGAGGGCAAACTTGAAAATGAACAGTGTGAAAAATGTTTAAAAGAAAAAATGTTCAAAGTTCCTACCAAACTTGCTCCACCATTTAATTTGAAATTAATTCATTCCTGTAGCATAAATCAATGGAAGAAGTTTTCTAACTACCAGGGCACACTTAAACCCTAAGTATACACATCCTGATGCACACTAAAAGCTACTGAGTATTTTTAAAGTAGAGTCGAGTCCAAGGTCACACAGCTCTAATTTATACAACACTGACCTACAATAGGTCACTCTGAGAGTCAAATTCTAATCTCACATCATAGTTACAATGGCTCTTTCATAGGTTATGTTTCCCTAACCATAGATTTGAAATAGCCAACCACCAGAAGAATTCAGAAATGAAAAAGGCTACTGGGGGGGAAAAAAATATTTAAATAACTAGTAAGCAAAATACTGACATTTTTCAACCCAAATCTCAAACCAAGATTTTTATCTTTGTTATTTACAAAACTTCAAATATGTTGTGTTATAAATCTTAATGCAAAAGACAATTTATTTTTATAAATAGCTTTGTGACACAACAAAAACTAAAGTATAAAAAGGAACTAAAAAATGTCACGTAACTTCTAAGCACTATTCAGTAACTACATATTGACTGCTCTTAATGTAAAATATTAATTTTGTGTTTTGATCATAGAATTCAATCCTAATAACTATAGTCTGTGTAGTAGCACAAAAGTACATACAAGAATTAAATGAACTTGGAAAATTTTAAAGGCAGGGAACTAATCTGACTCTATTTTTAACCTTACTTTAATACAGTAAATTTTTTTAATTCCCCAAACTGTAAGCATATATACGTATCATCACTAGAAATTTTCAGATGAATAATAAGACCATACACTATAAACACAATGATGCCAGTAACACAAGAATATGTTACGTCCATCAGGATAAAAGCTTTTTGTAGCACTGCAGATTTTTCAGTCCCCAAAAGGTCCTATGCTGGCTCAGCTCCATGTCATTACAGTTGGCTCTTCATACCAACCTGCTTTCAAGGGTGGATATGCTAGCAGAGTTTCAATATCTGGATTCTCCAACAGTTACCTTAAGTTTCCATGTCTTAGCAAAATGGCACATTCACTCACTGACCAGCAACAATAAATTTACTGTGCTGAAACTCTAACATGATACTAAATCTTCATTCTCAAAATTCACTCCCAGCATTAACAAATGATATGAATAACCAACTCTTTTCATGTACTTGTAATCATATCAGCCTTCTGATTTTACAATCCTGGTTTAAGCTGTTTACGTTTCCAAAGTAATCAACTTTTGCTCTCTTAAATCCTTCATAATATTCAAAGCAACGATGATGGAATTTTCTGATAAGCCACTACAAGTTTAGCATCACTGATTACCTTCAATGCTCTTGCAAGCTAACCAGTTTATGCGTAAGAACTCATTTACAAATAGGAGCATGAAAAACTATTTCAAACCAAACTTTTCAAATAAAACAAAGTCTTCATCTTTTTAAAGAATGGCAACTTGTTCTGAAAACAAGGTTATTTTATTTCTGCAAAGATTATTTCGAGTAAATTTTTAAGTATAAGAATTACTTACGTCAATGACTATAACCTTTTCCCACCCTCTCAAAAAAAGAACAACTCCATTTCCTAAAAAAACAACCTATAACAGCAGTCACAAAATATTATTTGTGCCATGTAGTTGAACAAGTGAAGAAATAAGCACCAGGAAACAAAGGTAAAAGAAACTAATCTTTCAAGGTTGGGAGACAAACAGTTCCTGACACAAGTAGTCTTTTACCAACTTTTATGATTAGCTAGAGAAATCAAATACTTAAGTACTTGCTTACTAACCCAAAATAAGTTAAAAACAGAAAATACTTGAAAAGTAGGGCATTTTCACAAACTCTAAAAGAAGCTTAATAACCTAAGCAGAAATAGGAAGAGAAAGAAATCTATTTTAAAGACTAATGTTTTTTTCAAGTCTATTCCAAGAACTTATCAGAGACAAATGAAGACAGTAGGGTACTTTATGGTTAGTGATTCCCTTTTCTAAAACTGTGTTTCAATTTCTCTACACATAATGTAACAAAGAAGTCACAGACCTTTATAAGACTTATTTTTTAATTGTCGGGGAGGCAATCTTAGGGGGGATTTTAGCTTTATCAAATTCTACTATAAACATAATGGATATTAGGACACCAATCTTAAATATTCTTGACAACCACAGTAATGCTATGAGAAATGACAAAAAAAAATTACTTACCAGCACTCTAAAAAAGTACAGGTATTCTGCTGCTCCTGAGTAATTCCCACATTCATACTGGAACTTTGCATATCTGTAGAGAGTATCTAAATATTCTTGCCTAAACTAAAGAGAAAATAGTCATTTTACTCTTTCAGTTTTAAAATTTAATCCCTTTACTCCCAGAAGTAATTCTTTCAAAGTTTCTCAAAGGTTACCCCTAAAACAAATCTGACCTTAAAGTATACTTAGAAATACATAAATCTATTATGTACTGTTTTTCCTTCAAAGTTATAAATTGTAGTGACAGCTAACTTGTGATAAAAAAAAAAATTAAAGGTCTAGGACATGAGTCCTCTAGCTGTTAACTAGTCTTTTATTGTTTTTGTTCAGACATTCCTCTAGGTCCTCTAGCCCTGGTGTACAAGTTGCCATATCACGATCACTTGTGGTTGTTGTGAGGCTGAACACTGTTGAGTGACCCTGACATGTCAAATGCGTTAATGGCTGGTTACCCAATGTGAACAGAGAGTGGGGTGGAGCTCCCCGATTAAAACAAGCTTGGAAGGAGGAGTGGCATCACTTCCGTAACAGCTTGCCTCCGGAAATGCTATGAACCTGGAGAGAGGATGAGAGACACCCAAGCGTTGAGGACTCTCCTTCATAGAGTAGCTATGACTCGCCTGCGACTCGACGCCGCTTAACAACAATAACATCAACACAGACAGAGAGATTAGCTGGCCCAGCAGACAGAAGGCGATGCTACCACGCCAAAGGTGGTTGACTTTTAATCTGTGGCCCTCGGGCCTGTCTTTCATTATTTTTGTTCACACATTCCTCTAGGTCATATAGACCTGGTGTACAAGTTGCCGTACCACGGTCACTTGTGGTTGCTGTGAGGCTGAACACTGTGATACTGACATGTCAAATGCGTTAATGGCTGGTTACCCAAAGCGGACAGAGAGTGCAGTGGAGCTCCCCAATTAAAACAAGCCTGAAAGAAGGAGTGGCATCCACTTCCGTAATAGCTTGCCTCCAGAAACCCTATGAATCTGGAGAGAAGATGAGACACCCATGCATTGAGGACTTTCCTTCTCCTTCATAGGGTCACTATGAGTCGCCTGCAACTCGATGCCACTTAACAACAGCTGTTAACTAAGGTTACTACCAAGCACACATATCCTCGTAAGGTTCTGTGGTCCTTTATCAACAATATGTACAGTTTTATAAACCTACCTTCTCTGAACATGATCTGAACACCAACTTTTACAGTTAATGATGAAGGCAAAGTACAAGTGAAGAAGTCTTAAGAGAAAGCCTCAGAACCAGAACATTAACAAATTCTCTGAACAATCTATAAGGATATCAAAAAGGCCAATTTGTACATCAATCAGTCAGTATCTCTTTACATTAACTGGTAAGTCAAAGAGTAAACTTCAAGTCAGAGAATTAATTTAAAGCAGTCTGAAAGATTGTGAACACAATAGAGATGGTTGGAAAAAGGGCTATAATCACAATAGCTAATCACAAGATTAAATACTTGGGAGTAAGTCTAACTAGAAATACAAAGGATCAATTCAAAGAAAATTACAAAACATTACTACAGGAAAGAAAAAGAGAGACGTGGAAAAATAAAAGAATATACCTTGCTCATAAATAGGAAGACTCAATATTGTGAAAATGACAATCCTACCAAAGGCAACTACACATTCAATGCAATCCCAACACAAATACCAATTCCATTCTTCAGCAAAATGGAAAAGGCATTCTCTAATTTCATTTGGAACGGAAAGAGACCCCGAAAAAGCAAAGCACCCTTTAAAAAGAAAAACAAGGTAGGAGGCATCTCACTCCCTGATTTCAAATCCTACTACCCTGCCATGGTGGTCAAGACAGCATGGTACAGGTACAATGATAGACACATAGACCAACGGAATGGAAGTGATAACCCAGAAATCAGCTCATCTACCTATGGTCAACTGATTTTTGACAAGGAGAGGAAATCAGTTAAGTAGGAAAATGACAGCCTTCTAAAAAAATGGTGTTTGCAAAATTGGAAAGCCTTTTGAAGACACTCAGGCAAAACCCACACCTTATACCATACACAAATACCAACTCAAAGTGCATCAAGGACCTAAGACTAAAACTAAGGACTCTAAACTTCATTAAAGAAAAGCTTGGAAGAACCCCAGAAGCCATAATCTAAAACATGAACAATCTTCAAAGTATCCTGAAAAACCTACAACCAGGAGAGGATAAAATTAGATGAATGGGACCTTCTAAGAATCAAATCCCTGGTGTGGGCAGGGAAGAAAGTGTGTAATAATGAATGAATGGAAATCCAAAGTCTCTGTAAACTTTCATTTAAAAAAAAAACCAAACAATCAATTCCCTATGCACATCCAAAACACATCCAACCGGGTAAAAAGGGAAGCCTCAGACTGGGAAAAAATAATGACATGTCTGAAAAAGGACATACGGAGAATTTGTAGAATACTAAAGCATCACAAGATACAACCTAATTGCAAAATGGGCACAGGATATGAACAGACACTTCACCAAAGAAGACATACAGATGATGAACAAATACATGAAGAAATGTTCAAAATACCTAGCTCTAAGAGAGATGCAAATAAAAAAAACTATGAGATATCATCTTACCCCAGTAAGAATAGCAAAATTCAACAGAGCAGCAAACAACATATGCTAGCAAGGTGTGAAGAAACTGGAACCCTTATTCACTGTTGGTGGGAGTGTAAAATTGTGCAACCACTACGGAAGGCAGTATGCGGCTTTCTCAAAAAGCTGCAAATAATTCCTCAAATTAATAAGCTGAAATATTCGAGTGGTATATTTCATGCACAGTTTGAGGGGAGAGCATCTTTGCATTGTCAAATGGTTCAAGTCAATTCTTGCCCTTAGTATAATTAAGTGCATGGAGACTGCCTCCTTTACATATTTTTTTTTTAAAAAAAAGCTGCAAATAAGAGATACTATTTGACCCAGCAAATCCACTACTGGGAATATACCCTAAAGAAACAGAACTGCTACCCAAGCAGATATATGCATACCCATATTTATTGCTGCTTTTTTCACAACAGCAAAGAGTTGGAAACAACCCAAGTGCCCATCAACAAACGAATGGATAGAGAAGCTGTGGCATATTCACACAATGGATTATGCAGCACTGAAAAACAAAGAACTCTTGAAATCTACAAAATGGGTGACCATGGATGATATTAATGCTGAGGGAAATATCTCAGTCACAAAAGGACAAATACTACATAATGCCACTGTTATAAAACAGGACTGACATGGGGGTTGGGGGAAAACTATAGAGGGGATAAATAATGTACACAGCATTGAAACAGATGACGGAGAGAACTGTATAAAAGAAATATATGCTTAGGTATTATTGGCTTGATAAGAGTCCAGAATAAGAGCTGCATAGTAAAGTGGACTGGGGGAGGGGGCTACGGGCACAGATAGACAGACAACTCACGACTGTGTAACATTGAAAGAATTTTTTCCCCCCAAAGATAAAAGCGAACTGGAGGGGGGAAAGGAGGAAAATGTGCAACAATGAATGAATGGAAATTCAAGTTCTCTATAACTCTCATTAAAATCCTAATTTAAAAAAAAAAAGACACACTACTAAACAACAGAAAACCACTTTACTTCAATGGAGCTAAATTAAGGTAATAAGCAATAAAAATAATGAACAAAAAAAGGGGGGGTTATAACTTTTCTGTATTTCCTAACACAGAGTTTTAATAAAGATTAAATAATAATTGCAAGGGCTACTGGGTAGTTCACAAGCACACACAAATTCAAACCCAAACCAAATCTCATTGCTACTATAGCAATTCTAAACCATGGAGACCCTCCATTAGGTTTCCCAGACTGCCACTTTCTTTCTCTGGTGGATCTGAACCTTTGACATTTTAGTTAGGAGCCCAAGAGCTAACACACTATACCACCAAGGCTCACTGTAAGCCACAAAGTAGCCAGCTTTCATTTTTATTCATTTAAATTTAGTCTGTCCTTGTTAATCCATCAGAAAAGTCTTCCTGTATTCTCTATAATAATGCAATGACATGATTATTCTAAAATAAATAAATCAAAACCTTTTGAGAATTTTCTTTGAGCAGTGAGTATACACATGTGTACACAAACACACAGTCTTATCTGAAATATAACCTTTTTCAAAACCAAAACAAAACTAATGGTTAAATTGTTGAGGGAACTCTGGTGGCCTAATGGTTCAATTACTTATTAATTAATCTGGAAACTGTATTATTGTCAAGCCATGAATCTATCAATACAGTATCAGTCTTCAATTAGCCTATCACAATATGATTTAGATATATGTATTTTTTAAAAACAACACTTACACCATGCTTGTCTGCCAGGTAGTCAAATAGCATCCGACCATCCCTTAATAATAAGCAAACAAAATTATTTTATAAGCACAGGAAGTAAAAGAACCACATCTGACTTTGAAGTATCAGAACAATAAATAACTGCACACATAAAATCACTTTAATTGCGTTAATACTTCAACATTAGAATTCAGTTCTAGACTTCTAAAATAAAATATTGTATCTTGAATATAAGGAATAAGAATGAAAGATGGTAAAACTTTAAACTTCACTTTCAGATTCCTCTAGTCTTAACTGATAATCCTTCACCACAAAATAAGGTCTTTAAGGTTTTTTAGGAAGTAAAATCAGAACAATAAATAATAAAAGATTCTATTTTTATATGGAAGTCAAGAACTGACATGAAAGGTAATTTACTAGAAGAGTTGTTTACTGAGGTTACACTTCTAATACAGTAAATATTTTTATTAGAAAATTGAAATAGTTATACAAAAGAAAAAAGCAGGAATTACTTTCATAAATAACCTCTCCCCAATTTGTTGTATTTCATAAGGACAGTGATTTGAAAAATTTAAAGATTAAATCATTCTTAACTTCCACAACATCGACCTTGTATGCAATATAATTAATACTATCCATATGAGAATATCAATTAGCCACTTTAACTCATAAGCTTTATGTTTTTTAGGGAACAAGTGACAGATATTTTTAAAAATGGAAGGATTTTTATATTTTTTCTTAAGGATTATGCCAAGGCATGTCTTTTTTATAGCCTAATTTACTTAATTTGGGGATTTAAGGAGGAGCAGGACATGGTGTCACTATTATTGAACAGTTAATATACATGAAATTTTAACATAAAAAAATTTCAAAGAAATTCATAGTTGCTAGAGATTAGAGAACAGCTTTCTATTAGAGTCCTTACATCTCTCAGGTATATAAACATATGCCTGCTGACTAGGAATCTCTAGAAAAGTATGTGGAAGTACAAAACTAAATCACCAATTTAATGCCTAGGTAAGCTAAAAAGTAGCCCATACATATACACTATATATATGTAGAGTAACAGGATACAATGGAATATACACTAATCTTGTAGTAGTTGCTGTTTTCCTAAAAATATGTGGCAGCACCTTCTCAAATTACAAATAAAAATTTACAGCAAGTCACTCTAAAAATGTACTTTGGTTACACGTTGGTGTTGCTGGTAGAAGATATCAAGTCAGCTCGAACCCAGAGACTTCAGGTACGACAGAACAAAACACTGCCAGGTTGTTCACAATCTCTGCCGTGTTGTAGACAACTACGTCAGTCCATAGAAACGAAAATGCAGTATAACAAAACCATCAGTAATCCTTCAAGAGAATATATTGGGAGAAAAGGATTTCTAAAAATGGCAATGTTCTGTTTTAGTAGACTATTTTTTAGACATTGCAAATAATCCAACAGTTTCCATTTGTTGCACTGTATTAAGTCAGACATGCTTTCTTTCTCTGGAAACCACACAATCAGTCTATTTCCAGCTAAAAGGAAGTTTGGAATAAAATAACCTTATCAGCTCCTCACTACCTTTTTTGGGCTGGGCATCAGGTTGAAAGGATATAAGAGAATGTAGTGAGGTGATAAAGTAGGCTCCAGTTTCTGTGCAGCAAGCATCCAATTAGCCTCAGGTATTGTCCTAGCACAGGGGTTCTCAACCTCTGGAGCACTGACATGTGGATCAGACAATGCTTTGTTTGGGGGCAGGCAGGAAGGCAAGTGTTTGTCTTGTATATTGTAAGATCTTCTAACAGCATTCCCGGCCTCTATTCTCTAGGGGTCAGTATCCATCCTGCAGTTGAGTCCAGACATCACCAAATGTCCCTCCTTCCCTAGTATAATCACGTATGGGTAAACGATAATTCTTTTTAAAAATTATTATATTGTTATTGTATAATGTACATGTCATTAGCAAGAAGTACTACAGGTTGCTACTTATTCAATAAGTTTAAAGAAAAATATGTCAGTCAATAAAGCTGTAATTCACCATGAATTTTCACTATGGGATACCAGATAAAAAGGCAAAAGATGTAAAAAACTAAAATTAAGAAAGATTACCTGGTTGACTGCATTTGTCTTGTAGTTTCTGGATCTTCAAACATCTTCACTATTGGTTCTGTCTCTGCCTGCAGTTGTTTTAGCTGTGCAACAACTGTGGTTCTTTTTTCTCTCAAAGCTAGTTAAAAATGCAAAGTAATTCTAAGTTAAGTAATGTTAATGTACAGGGTTCACCCTAACAATATCTCTAGAAATTTTTTAAAGAGAATTTAAATTGCTCATAAACAGATACAGGGAGATCTGGTGGCTAGCTGGTAAGGAGTTGTACTGCCGACACAAAGGTAGGCAGTTCAAATATACCTACTGCTCCACAAGAGAAAGAGGGCATTCACTTGTCTGATTTCCTGCTTTAGAACACCTGCTAGAGGGGCAGCTATGAGTTGGTTCCAACACGGCAGATACACACCTAACAATAACGTGTGTATCCCCTCCTACATGCACATGTCAGAAACCAACTCAATTTTCCAGATTAAATGTCTTCTTTTCTCTCACACAGAAGTACACTATACTTGGTGAAAGGCCAGCAAAAAGAGGAAAACTCTCCATAAAGTGTGACTGATACAGTGGGTGCAACATCAACTGTAAGGATGGCTCAGGACCAGAAGTGTTTCCTTCTGTTCGTGTCACCATGAACTGGAACTGACTTGATGGCACCTAACAATAGCAGCAGCACTGCAAAGGTGCAAAAATGAAGAAGGAATCTCTCTGTACTCTTAAAAGACTTAAGAAATTACAAAGGAGGTGTGGGTGATGAAGGTAAGAAATTATCATTTGATTCTAAGTCTTCAAGGACTTCATTTTAAGTGTGTTTATATTTGTTCTCATATACTTTTCTAAAGTATTATTTTAATGATAAGAATCAGAAACAGTAGCCCAGGATGTTTATATTACTATAGGTTTTCAGCTCAATTATAAGGAATTTAAGTTTATACTGAAACTCATAGAGAGTCTATGATCTCTTTTCACATTCAGTTCCATAATAGCTCAAATGCAATCCTACAATGTCTTTCAATGAGATCACTTATGAATCAAAGAAAATATCTCTTGTTACATTAAAATCAGCAAAACTAGTTTCATTTTTTCCTAATGACAAGATAAAAATTACAATTTAAAAAGAGTTACAAAAAGAACTATTATTATTACAGGGAATTGTAATAATTAAATAAAAAGTATGTTAGTGTAATAATTTCCATATTATACATTATAAAAATGTTAATTTAAAATAAATTCTATTTCTCTAATGCTAGAGAGCTCTTTAAAACGCTAAGCACAAGAAAAGTGATACAGCAATTCTGAAATTTATGAAACAATTTTTCCTTTAGGAACATCTGTTACAACAGGACTGTGATAAGCACAAATGATTACACATTCAATATCAGCTGAAAGGCTGGCATTCAGAACCTACTCAGAGATGTCACAGAAGAAATGCCTGGCAATATGCTTCCTAAAGGTCACAGTTTTGAAAGAACTATAGAGGAAATTCTGCCACCCACAGGGTCACCATGAGTTGGAACCATTTAATGGCAAATGGTAACTACCACAGAAAACAAGGGTTTGGAAACCCACTACCACAATGGCTCTCCAACTGCAGTGCCCAGCTCTCTCTCATTAAGTATGAAGTCTGAAGGACCCGCAACTCTAACAAACTCTCTTAGGGAAGAGAATGCCGGCCCCAAGAACCACACTTTGAGAACTTCCACCTGCCAGGTTCTTCAAGATCTGAATCAGAAACACTACTTTGATGATACTAATTATGACCTCACTATGACCATAAGAACACACTATGACCACAAGAACTGAAAAGTATTTGATGACAATGTTTTAGTAGAGTCACTTCTTTTACAGGGAGATAATAACATACTTTCACACACCTGTAACAAGCTGTCTTTTATCATAAGACCTTTTTAATCACTCCAATATTAATTAAAGCTCTTTCATAAATCACAAAATCTTAACATATACACCCTCAGCTCACAAGATGACAAAACTTACCATGAGGAATATCATCGGAATAAAGGTTTTTGTATACATCCATAGCAAAGTCTACCATGTTGGTATCACTAAGAAGATCCAATTTCCCTTGTAATAATTCCTTTTCATTATATATCTGTAAAAGAAAATGAGTTAATGAACACTGAAGGGTTCCAAATAAACTGAGCTTTGTCTACTTGGAAATCTATTCTGAGATGCTATTTCTTTACTAATAATATAGCTTATTTCACCTTTTAAGGATAAACACAATAGCAAGCAAGCTGCAAAAATAAGAGAACATTTTTCTTATCTGGAGATTTTAAAATGGAGGTAAATTAAACACTCCAAAGTCATTTCCACCTATTTGAAATGATGTTGCCATAACTTATACCATCTTATTAAAGCTTCTTAAGTCCTTATTATGAGATTTGGGGGCATAGTGGTAAGGAATTACGCTGTCAGTGAAAAGATAGATGTTTTGAATCCACCAGCTGCTCCAAGGGAGAAAGACAGGCAATTTCTTCCCATGCAATTTAGTGCCTGTGCAAATCCACTGAAGGGTCAGCTATGGGTCAATTCCAAAGCGATGGTACACAACAAGAAGTCCTTACAAGCTACCTGTTATCCTTTCTAGAACAAAGCTATGCTTAAATAATGAGAATTTTTAAAACTATCAACCATCAACACAAAAGAAAATCCCATTGCAAAGAGAAAAGCTGTCTCCTCCCCACAGGTAAGTAGATGGAGGAGTCAAGACTTCCTAGCCCCTTATACCCACACGCTGTGCTCGTTCCCAGAGGTGCTCTTTCCTTTCCTTCCTGTATTTTCTTTCATTAAGGCTCCAATACTCCCTTACCATCATTCTACTAAAACAAAACTAGCAGATGGCCATGATACGAGATTTTTGCTTTGCAGGGGTGAGTATATACAAAAGTTGAAAATGTTTAATGTATATTATTTGATCCACAGTCCAGGACCGAAATGGATACATATAAATATGCAAATAAACATAAAAGTATATTGGCAAATAAGACTATCTACCAAGTAACATCCAGAAGTGTTAACAGCTGGAAAAGAAACTGACCTTCAATAAATCAAATAGTTATCAAGATGAAGCAAGCATTAAAGAATAAGATTTCTAAAAAGAATTTAACTTTTCCAGACAGAAAATAAAATCCCCATGTGATATAATATTATTTCACTCCTTGTAAGATGGGAAGGGAGCTCTGGTGATATATTGGTAAGGAACTGTGCTGCCAACCCAAGGATGCGCAGTTCAAATCCACCAGTTGTCTCCCAGGATAAAGATGAGCAATTTCCTGTGCGATTCACCTGGTTGGAAGGTCAGATATGGGTTGGGTCCAACTTGACAGTATACAATAAGGAGGGAGAGAATAGTATAAAATGGCATAAATGGTAATATCAAAAGTGAACTTTAGAAAAGACATAAAGAACTTCTACTAAATTACTAAATTTAAGAACACACACACCCTCCACCAACAAAAAACAAACCCTGGCGATGAAATGTGTGAGCTCTGGTGGCAAAAAGCTGTGCTGCAACCCTGAAGGCATGTGGCTTGAGGCCACCTGCCGCTCCATGGAAGAAAGATGGGCACTTTCCTCGCTTGCCATTAACTGCTTCTCAAAACCCACTAGAGGGTCAGTTAAGAGTCAGTTACAACTCCATGGTACTAAAGAACAGTAACATCTCCTCTTGAGAACAAATCAACTTTAGTTTTGTTTTTTGGCAGGATGTGTGTGTGAGAGAGAGAGAGAGATAAAGAGTGAGGGAGAGTGAGAGGGATAAAAATAGATAGGGCTCTTAGTGGTGAGATGTTTAGGTTTTCTCAAAATTCTACAGTGGTCTTGAGCTTAGTAACCAAAATCACTAAAGAGGGAGCTCTGATGGCCTAGTGTAAAGATTTGCACTGACAACCCAAAGTCATGCAGTTCAAAGCCAGCAGTTGTTTCACAGCAATCTCTTTTTACCATGTGATTTACAGCCTTTGGATACCTGCTGGAAGGTCGGCTATGGATTGATGATTCTCGTATACTAGTATACATCAACAACCCTCACGCAATACTCAGCATCTGTCCTGCATGTGTCTGACCAATATTTGACCAAGGGTCTCTATAAGAAATCAAATGATACACAGCCTTGGGCAAATGTGCTGCACAAGACCTCTTTTTTTTTTGAAAGGCAAAGATGTGACCTCGAACCTCTTGTTTAGAGTCAAGAAAACTTCCTGGAGGATACTTGCACTTAAAGCCAAGCCCTTGTCTCCATTTTGGAGACTGGGTTAAGTGAGTGGACTCTGTAAGATGGGCTCTCTTGTTTTGGTTGCAGGTCACTGTGGAATGTTTGGTTTTGTTTGTTTGTTTTTTTTTATAGCCCCTTGTTTAGAGTCAACAAGACCTCCTGGGAGGTCCCTGTACTTAAAAGTTGGGCCTGAGGATTCTTTTTTAATCCCTTGTTTCTATATTTTGAAGGAACATTCCTCTAAACTGTACAGCATTCTTCTGGCAATTTGCTGTGCTGAGGTAATCTGGGTTTGCTGTGATGCTGAACCTTCTACCACTGGGGTCTCAAATATCATAATGGCCGCCCATGGGGGGCAGTGTTTGGTGGTGCTCCCAATTTTAATTCAGGTTAGGAAGCAGGAGTGGCATCCACTTCCAAAACCGCATTCTTCTGGCAACTCTATGAACTTGGAGAAAGGATGGTTATAGAAAGACCTCAGCTCTTTTGTTCATAGAATCACTATGCGTCATGCCCAACTCAACAGCAATCAATAACAATGATAACATGTGTATCCAAAAGCTAGCCACTGAATAAGGGAGGCAGAAGAAATATATTATGGGCAGAATACTGAACATATCTATCTTAGGAGAAGTACAATCAGAACAGTTCTTAGAAGCAAGGGTGCCAAGACTGTGCCAGTCTTCCTTTGGACATGTTATCAGGAGGCAACAAACCTTGAGCATCAGGGTCAGCAAAAATGAGGAATACTGAATTAAGTGGATTGACAGAACGACTGCATAACTGGTAACTGAAGCAATGACCATAAGGATGGCGCAGAATCAGGCAGCACTTAGTAAGCATGTGCATACAGTTGCCGTAAGTTGGAACTGACTCAATGACACCTAATGACAAGTTTCTCTCAAAGGTGAGACAGTGTCACTGATGGTGAAAAAGGATTTTCAGCTGTAATTAATAGGGTCATATCCTATGAAAAACCAATCTTCTATCTTGAAAAAGGAAGAATAAAAGCATATGCCAAAAGAGAAACTTAAGCTAGTTTATAAATGAAAGTTTCTACAAGTTGTTGTTATGTGCCATCGAGCAACCCTATGTACAAGAGCCCTAAACTCGGCTCTATCCTGTGCCAACCTCACCATATCTGACACACTCATTCCCACCACCCCAATCACAGATTTGATCCATCTCAATAGTCTTCCTCTCCTGCGCCGTCCCTCCACTCTCCTAAACATGATGTCCTTCTCCAAGGACCAGTCCCTCCTTGCAACATGCCCAAAGTATGTCACACAAAGCTTCAGAATCCTTGAACTCCAAGGGGCATTCCGGCTTCACTCTCTCTAGAACAAACCTGTTTGTTCTCCTAGCAGTCCATAGTATATTTAACACTCTTCTCCAGCACCACAGCTCAAAGGCATCAATTCTCTTTCTATCATCCCTAGTCACTGTCCAACTCTCCAATGCATAGTACGTAACTGCAAAGACTATAGCCTGGATCAGGCGCACCTTAGTCTCCAGCCTGACATCGTTGCTCTTCAGTACTCCAGAGAGGTCCTTGACAGCTGACATTCCTAATGCAATTCGTCTCTTTATTTCCTGGCTGCCAGTACCAAGAGTGTTGACTGGGGAGCCAAGCAAACTAAAACTGTTAACTATCTCAATCTCTTCACCATCCATACTAATGCTGCCAATTGGCTCAGTGGTGAGAATCTTTTATTTCTTGATGCTGAGCTTCAATCCATCCGTATTGAAGGCTGCAGTCCTTGACCTTCTGCAGCAAGTGCTGGAGGTCCTCCTCGGTTTCAGCAAGCATATGTCATCCATATAAGGATTTTATATGTCATCCATATAAGGCAGGTTGTTGATGACTCTCCCACCAATCCTGAATCCACTGCTGTCCAGTTCATCAAGCAACTCTTTACAGCAAGACTGACCATCTTTTCCCCCACAAGTGGCTGGTGAATCTGAACTGCTGCCCTTCAAAGTCAGCAAATCAGACAACGTACTATGCTTGATCTATGGTGAAATCTGTCTACCTAAACCTTCCTCAACATATACTGCTAATCAAAACATTAACCTATGCACCAAAAGCAGCTGTCTGAACAGAACAAGGATCACATGGTTTAAGGAGAGAGGTGCATCAGAGTTGTATTCTTACACCATACCTATTCAATAAGTCTGCTGAGCAAATCTGAGAAGCTGGACTGTATGAAGAATATGGCATCAGGATCGCAGAAGACTCAATCCCCCTACATTCTATGCAGATGCCACAATCTAGCTCCCTAAAAGCGAAGAGGTGAACACTAAACGAAGACCTCAAACACGTGTCTTCAGTATGGATTACACTTCAACATAAAGAAAATCCTAACAACTGGACCAGCAGATAATACCATAATAAATGGAGAAATGAATTAAGTTGTCAAGGATTTCTTTTAACTTGCATCCACAGTCAATACCCATAGAAGCAGCATCCGGAAAATCAAAACATGAACGGCTCTGGGATTATCTGCTGTCAAAGACTTCTTTAAAGTGCTAAAGAGCAGAGACGTCAGGTTAAAGACCAAGGTGTGTCTGACTTAAGCTAAATTATTTTTAATCTCTTCATACGGATGAGAAAGGTGGACGACAACTATGTAGGAATAAAGAATAACCGAAATGAGCCACAGACTAGCAAAACATCTGTCTTGAAAAAAGTGCAGCCAAGGAGCTCCTTAGGTAAGGATGGTGAGGTTCTATCCCAAACAAGTCAGGCAAATTATCAGGATGGGTCAGACCTCGGAAAAGCATATCATACTTGGAAAAGAAGAGGAAGACCCTCACGGAGATAGACACAGCAATCACAGTAATAGGAGGGCAAAGATGGCACAGGATCTGGCAACATCTTGATCTGCTGTACAAAGGGTAGGTATAAACTGGAATTGACTTGATGGCACCTAACAACAAAACAGAGAGACCCCATGGCAGAAAGAGCCCATGATCAACTGCACTAACAAGGCAGTTATCGAGTCATATGGGGTTAATAGGAGGCAGAACTGACTCCATAGCACCTAACAACCACCACCTCAACTAGAAAGTAAAGGGAAAGCTGTTATGGGCTGTCTACTACGACCCAGGGCAACACTATGCAAACAGATCCGAACTCTGACCTATCATACTTGCCTATTTTAATCAAACAGTAAAATACAGATGTTAAGTCCATTCTATACAAACATCAGGACAAAAAATCCCTCTATTTTCTTTGAAGATAATGGCATTTGTGGCATGTGTTGAAATGACCTTTGCCGTTCTCCAGTATTACCAACTTAAGTCCCTAAGGGTTTATAAAAGGTTAATGGTATGAATGCAAAGATGACAGCTGTCTAACGAACATCGACCTGGAAGCTTTTAAGATTCCAGAGCAATTTGATGTTTATTTTGAGAGCGTTTTTGCTTTAATCTTGTTGAAACATACACAAAACTTCTATTTTTCATAGTTCCCAAATTCATTCCCTGTAGTCTATCTATGCTGTATCTGCTTTCATAAAGTTTATTTTCTACCTTTCTTCATCGTTACTCGTTAAAATTCTCAAAATGCATCCATTCCACTACAAACGTTTGCTACACCTAAGCCTAATAGTTCAAAACTGTTGAACAGAGGTATGTTTTACAGTAAGATACCTGAACGAAGGTATCTTGAGTAGTTAAGTGCAATGTAAGCGATTCAGATGACCTGAGAAGTGGAAAACAGTAAAAGGTTTTGCTCTTGCTATCTAATAAAATAGGCAAAGTTCTAGGAAATAGCCATCACCTTAAAACCAGGAAGCTCCACGCAAGACTCCCAACTTGATGGAGTAAAGGCTTAGATAAGCTACGTCTAAAGGGGGAGGGGGATCCGCAACAATCCGGACAGCAGACAACACCAAGTCCAACACTTCAATTTCGCAACGAAAACCCCAAGTTCTAACACCAATTTGCTCTGCGAATCCCTCCAGGCGCTAAAGCGCAGCCGTCAACTCCCGACAGGAGAAGCGGGCGTCCCTCGGGTGCTGACATCTCGGCGCGGGGACCCCCTTCCCCACCGCAGCTTCACACCTTCTCTTCACTCCGACCCACTGGCCACCTGCGCTGTGCCCAGCAGTCAGGACGACGCGGAGCCAGGACCACGGGTCCTTCGGGCCCGGCCGGAGACCAGACCCCCGGCCGCCTCGCACGTGTCAGGCCCGCAGCCAGCGGTCAGCGGCTTCCCGGGCTCCGCACGCGCCCCCGCGCCTTCCTCCCGCTCAGAGCCACGCTCACCTCCTTCACCGAGAGAAACTCTAGCAGCGGAAAGACCAGATGCCGATCCAAAAAGTGCGCGATGCGAGTAGTCAGGTCGTACTCCGCCATCTTGCCAAGGAAAAGGAGCGTCTGCGCTCGCAGAAACTTTATTGGTAGCGCTGGCAAGGGAACAGACAGCCGCCACACTGCGCATGTGCAGGCGAGAAGGGGCGGGGCTGAGCTGGGTGCTCGCGGGGAGAACAACCGCGCATGTGCACAATTCCTCCCACCCACCCTTCCTATGAATCCTGCCTGTGAAATGTACCTTACTTGTGTTTGAGGTCTTTGAGTCGGAACCGCCTCGTAGCTGTCCCTTCAGAGGATTTCAGAGACCCTAAATTGCTCTGAGTGAGATTGCCCGTCTTTCTCCCACGCAGCTGCGGGACCTCTGGTTGCTTAGTGCTTAGAAGTTGTGCTGCTTATTCAAAGGTGACGCCTCTTGAGGTTCAAATCCAGCAGTGACTGCAGGATGAAGAGGGCAGTCCCCAATCCTGGGATTTACAGCCTCGGAAAACCGGCTGAAGGGTCAGTTATGAGCCGGTTACGACTTGACTCAATAGTTTTAAGGTAGTTTGCTCCCTCTCTTGCGAACCCAAGGTTTACCAGTGGTGACCAGTGCTGAACTTTGAGTTTTTCATAGTAAAAATGGAAAAGTTAAAACTAAGTGCTGAGACACTGTTGATAGCAAAGGGCAAGGAAGTTACATGCAAGTAAGACTATCTAGGCAGGTATTTGGCACATTCACTCACTCTTTGCTTGTTGCTCCCTTTTCTCTGTTGTTATGTGCCATCGAGTCACCTGCGCGACCCTATGTACAGCAGCTCCCAAGCCTGCCCTGTCCTGAGCCAGTCTCACTAATTCTGACACACCAATCCTCATTGGTTCAGTTACTGTATCAAACCCAACTCATCTAGAGCCTTCCTCTCCTGCACTGTTCTTCCACCCTTCCGAGCATGAAGTTCTTCTCCAAGGACGGGTCTCTCCTGGCCACGTACCCAAAGTATATGAGACAGAGCTTCAAAATCCTATCCTCTAAGGAGAAACTTGGCTTCATCCTCCACAAGACAGACCTTTCCTCTACTTTTGATATTTAAACTTCCTTTTGATGATTGTTGTTATGTGCCATCAAGCCAAACCGATTCATAGCTGACCTTCAAACATGTTTTCTAAGGCTGTAAATTACAAGGGAAGAGATTTTTCCATCTTCCTCCTGCGGAGCAGCTGGTAGATAATGTTGTTGTTGTTGTGGTTGTTGTTGTTGTTGTTAATGTGCCCTTAAGTCTCTTGCGACTCATAGTGACCCTGTGTGCTGTTGCCCTGAACCCTTCTCTATTCTGTGCCAATCTTACTGTCTCTGACACACCTACCCTCATTACCCCAGTCACCGAATCAATCCATCTCATCGAGGGTCTTCCTCTCTTGCGTTGTCCCTCCACCCTTCCAAGAGTGACATCCCTCTCCAAAGGACTGATCCCGCCTTGCAACATGTCCAAAGTATGTCAGAGGAAGCCTCAGAATCCTTGCCTCCAAGGAGCATACTGGTTTCACCCACGCTAGTAGGAACTTGTTTGTTTTCCTGGCAATCCATGGTACATTCAATACTCCAGCACCACAGTTCAAAGGCATCAATTCTCTTACTATCATCCCTGGTCATTCTCCAGTTCTCTGATTAGTAACTGCCAGAAAGATACCGTTCAATGTGCAGGGCAATTCCCAGTGGACCACACCACCCTAGTAATCGTTGTGTAGGTGCCCTGGTGGTTCAATCCTTAATCTCTAGTCTACTAATCGGTAGTTGTCAATCTATAGGGAAAGACTTAGCAATCTACTCTGCTCCCAAAAAGCCTATGAAAGGGACTCTCAGTCACATCTTTGTGGCTTTGCACAGAACAATCATTTTGTAAACCTTTGCTAAATATAGGTGGGAGTAGGTTGGTAGCCAAAAACCAAGTGAAATTAATTCACAGTATGTTTTTGTTGTTAGGTCCAATAGAGTGGATCCCATACCACAGTGACCCTATGCACACAGAACAAAACACTGCCTTATTCCATCTAGTCTCACAATTGTGGCTTTATTTGAGTCAGTTGGTTCAGCCACTATGTCAATGAATGGTTTTTCCTCCAATCCTAGTGAAGCATTTTTTTCCCTTCATTCAGTCCAGCTTCCCAGATTATTCCCAGAGCTCCCTGTTTAGTGATTATGGTTACTAAGTTCAAGACCACTGCAGAATTTTGAGAAAACCTAAACATTATGATTGTTGTTGTTATGTACTGTTGAGTCACTTGTGACTCATAGCGACCCTATGTACAACAGCCCTAATAGATTATTCCTTCTAGAAGGATCCAAACTTGATGTACACTTTTCCTGATTTAAACCATGTAGGATCACCTTCTGCTTGAAGATCCCTCTTGGTTTATGTGCACGTTCTGGAAAAGCACATTTAAGTTTTCTGGAATTCGCATTCCTCACAGTGGTATCCATAATTTAATATATTCTGCACAGTTCAAATGCCTTTGAAGAGCTCATAAAGTACAAGTAAACAGATGTCTGATGTTATAGAGGAAAACACTTCCAGTGATTGAGGAGTAACTTGAACAGATACAAAAGGAGAAGAAACAGTAAAAGATGTTTGAGATGCAAAACTTTGGGAGTACTGAGGAACAAAACCCTTTGTCATTGTTGGTTTTTATGTGCTGTTGGGTCAAGTACAACTCTATGAACAACCGACCTGAACCCTGTCCTGTCCTGTGCTGTCTTCATCATCTCAGATACCTTTGAGCCTATTGCTGCAGTCACTGTGTCAATCCACCTTGTTGGGGTCTTCACCAATCCTCCACCTTTTCAAACACGACATCCCTTTGCAAGGAATGGCCCCTCCTAGCAACATACACACAACACAGGAGCTGAAGTCTTGCCATTCTTGCCTCTCAGGAGCACACTGACAGTATTTCTTCTAAGATATATCTGGTTTGTTGGTTTTTGTTTTGGGTGTTTTGGTTTTTTTTAAAGCCATGGGATATTCAGTGCTCTTCTCCAACACCACAGTCCAAAGGCATCAATTCTTCTTTTACCATCTTTATTCATTGTCCAACTCTCAGATGCATAGCAAGTGATCTAAAAGACCATGGCCTGAATCAGGTGCATCTTAGTCTTCAAACTAACATCATTGCTCTTCAATATTTTGGAGAGGTCCCTGACAGCAGACTTACCCAGGATAATGCATCTGATCTTCTGACTGCAAGTACCAAGAGTAGTGGTTGTGAAACCAAGTAAGATGAAGTCTTTGACAATTTCAATCCTTTCTCCATCAATCATGATGTTGCCTGTTGGCCCAGGGGTAAGTACCATTTTTTCCCACTTGATCTTCAGAAGTAATCCACATTGAAGGCTGTAGCCTTTATATATTCTGCACATGTGAAATCTCTAAATTTCAGGTTCTCATCACTTTTAGTAAGCAAGACTTTAGGTAATGAGAACCAGGAAGAGGGACCAGGAGAAAGTTTATGCAATCGATATGAAATTTATCTTATGTCAAATGGAGTCTTTTAGTATTTTGTGTAGGAGGGCAAATAATCACATCTGTGTTTAAGGAAGGTAATTCTGTCAAGTGTGTGGATGGTGGATTGGATAAATAAGATGTGGAAGGTCTTTAAAGCCAGGATAGATTTTTTTTTTTAATCAGATAGTCAATGGGAAATACTCATTAAGTCCTTGAACAGAAAAATACATGAAGAAAGTGATGTTTTGTAGTTTAAAATTAAACTGGAAGTGATTTACAAGATGGATTAAAGTGGTGACAGATTGGAAACTCTGCCAATTTGCCTGGCTTTTCCCCTGGAATTTTCCTTGCTGGTTTGTGAAAAGATCTTGTTTCTCTTTATAAGAGAGATTAAGCCCCGAGTATGGGAAACCTTAGTTTTGTGCTTCAGTCTCTTAGTGTTCTGAAAAAGATATCTCAGGAAAAGGGTAAGGAACCCTTCAGCTGGCAAGTTCTGATGGCATCAGATGTAGACTCTAGAGTCATCAATTTCTGATACTTTTTTTCTGGTCACCACATCAAGTTTTGAGGTACCAAACAAAGGAAACCAGACTCAATGTGCATGGGTTTTCTGTCTGTGCTGGAGTGGCACCTTTGTAAAATGTAAAACAATCATAGCACAGTGTGATAGAATCTGCACACTAAGTGTTCAAGAGAGACCATGGGAAATAGTCATTCTCTGCCTGAGAAAGAACTTCTTGAAGGGGGTAACATTTCCATTCCTCTATTCTTTCAATTAGTTCCCGTTGTTGTTGTTATGTGCTGTGGAGCTGCCTACGAGTCATAGTGACCCTATGTACAACAGCCCTGAACCCTGCTCTCTTCTGGGACAATCCCATTGTCTCTGACACATCTACCCCCCATTACCCCAGACACTGAATCAATCCATCTCATCGAGGGTCTTCCTCTCTTGTGCTGCCCCTCTACCCTCCCAAGCATGACGTCCTTCTTCAAAGACTGGTCCCTCCTTGCAACATGTCTAAAGGTATGTCAGATGAGGCTTCAGAATCCTTACTTCCAAGGAGCAGCCTGGTTTCACCCTCTCTAGGATGAACCTGTTTGTTCTCTTAGCAGTCCATGGTATAATCAATACTCTTCTCCCACAGCTCAAAGGCATCAATTCTCCTTCTATCACCTATACATCTGAAAATTGGGCAATTAATAAGAATGAAAGAAGAATACTCAGTGTCCTTATTTTTTTCTTCAGTTTTTAATTTTTTATTGATACTTTAGCAAAAGTTTACAGAAAACTTGGATTCCCATTCATTTATTGTACATTTTCCTCTCTATATGCCATCCCTCTGTTCACTGTTCTCTTTAAAAAGATTCTTGCATTGTTTCACAGTTTCTTCCCTCTGGCCACACCCCAGTCACTTTGCTATGCACCTCTTATTCTGGACAATTGTCATACATATAATACATAATCATATATTCCTTTTAAATAGTTCTTTCCCTCATCTGTTTTAATGCAGTGTTAATTATCCCCTCTTTTCTTAGTTTCCCTCCAGCCCCCATGTCAGTCCTATGTTA